GAACCTGGCTGGTAAAGCAATTCGAGGAAGGTGTGGTAGATGAAAGACAAACTACGGTGTGAGTAGCGTGAGGGAAGCAACCGGCCTCAAGCTTGGAGCGGGTGGAGACAGTGAGGGGGTCAGGGACACATCTTGCTAATGGGGCAGCCAGCTGCTTAGCTGATTGATGTCCTCTGGGAATTCAAGAAAATCTGGAAGTCAGAAATGAAATATTGTCGCTTGTAAAGATTAGCAACTAATTAAGTTTTTAAAAACGCAAAGGCAAAAGCATATAAGCCTAACCACGCATATTTGTAGGTTGCTTGTAGACCTTGGCCTTCCTTGTGTGACTTCTGCTAGCAAAGTGATATAAAAGTTGAGGAACAAGCTGGGCTCAGTGGCTCAGCCTGTAATCCAGCGCCTTGGGAGGCTGAGGTGAGTGGATTGCCTGAGCCCGCGGGTTCGAGACCCGCCTGGGCAACTTGGCGACACCTCGTCTCTACGATAAATCAAAAATGAGCCGGGCATGGTAGCGCGCACCTGTACTTCCAGCTACTCGGAAGGCTGAGGCGGAAGGATCGCCGGAGCCCCGCAGGTCGAGGCTGCGGTGGCCGGGAGAGGCCGCTGCACTCCAGTCTGGGCGACAGAGTAAAACTCCAACCCAAAAAACAAAAAAACAAAAAAATAAAAAATAAAAGTTGAGGAACAATGTAGCGCCTACTAAAATTGGTCCTCTACTCCTTTTTGGCTAAAAAACTCCTGGCATGGGATTACAGTTTATGTAAGCAATATCATGAAGGACCAAAGAGCAATTCTGGAAAAGAAAAAGCGAATTAACCTTTGAAAGCTAAAGGCAAATGGGCCTGGCTGAATTTTTCCCTCACAGCAGAATCAGGAGTTTTTTTTTAAAGCCACACTTACTCATATATGTATTGTCACCATAACATGGAAACAATGTAAATATCATATTTAGCACTGTAAATGGCCAATATGCTTGTTAATTATTGCTAATTGGTAGTATTGTTAAAATCTTCTCTTTTTTTCATTTTTATAGGTTTTTAATATTTTAACCTGAATGCAGAAAACATTTTCCTCAATCATAGATAAGAAAATTTTACTACTCAAAAAATTGGGTATTAAATTTAAAAAAATACAAAACTGTCCTCCAAATCTCGATTTGGTTTTACCCAAGAGATATTGTATATTCTAAATAAATATCATTTACTAAATAGCCTATTATCATGGAGAAAGTCATGCTGTGTATTTTATTTAGTAAAGCAAATCTTTTGGAGTCAGAATTTGCAAGCAAAAAATGTCAAGTAATGAACACAGCCTCTTTAGGGAGCCCGTTCAGTGATCAAAAGCAGTCATTTTTGGTTGGCTTCAGTCGATTCCATCTTATCCCAGGCTCGTTGGGTTGAACCTTCCTGGTTTCCTTAGTGACTGACTGGCTAAGAAACCAGACGGTCCTAGAAATCTCTGGAGCAGGGAGATGGAGGGCCACACGGACTCAGGGACTGCAAATTGAACATGCCCCCAAAGCCATCTTGATTACATTAGAAAATGTTTTAAGCTTAGGGCTGTTTTGATGATTGAAGGTTTTCCCAAAACCTCGTACACAAAAGTACATACGGTGTGAAATTCTAAACATTTACTTTAAGGCGAAAGCCTTCTTTGCCCTCCAAATAATACAGAACTCAAGGGAAGAGGTGGAGGTAGGGAACAAGAAAGTGACTTCAGCTCAGTTGTGAAAAAAATGCATCCTACTGATACAAATTTCATCTTGTTCAAGAAGAAAATCGGATTTTTTTCAGCTCTCCAATTTCCACTCCAGCTAGATAGTTTCTAAAAAAAATTTAACCCTTAGAGGTTACTCTGACCTTTGAAACAAAATTTTTTTTTTGGTAACTGACATAACGTACTGGCTTTGAAGGATCACTTAGCAGCAGTGAGCCGCCCTGCACTCCCTGGACCTTCTCTCCGCTTGACATTATAAAGGGAGGCACGATGAGACCCAGATGAACTGGGTCTGCATTCAGACCTACCCAGCGGTTGACCTGTTGGGGAGAAAAAGGAACTAAACATCGGACTTTATTTATGCAATTGTCTCCTTCATAAGTCTGGGTGCACTGACCATGACGGCAAACAAACCCGCTCTTGGGGGCTTCCCCCTAGACAGCCCCACTGCCCTCCTGACTCAGGCCAGCGCAGTCCTGGGGAGGGGGCTGGGAGAGGTTGGTCTGGAGAGACGGCCAGGTGGGTGTCGATGGAGCTGCCCAGGCAGGAGAGGGGCTGGAGGGACAGTGAGGAGGGGGCAGGATGAGGGGGTAGAGGAGGAAAGACCAGCGGTCGATGGCATCCCTGGCCAGGGCCTGACCCGCCTTTGGGAGTCTTCCTACAAGAAACAGACACACAGGTGGATTGCCTTAGAAGGTCGGTGAGGCCAGGACTTCCTTCAAGCCGGTACTTGGAGGGTGTAAGCTGACTAAGTTGGTAGAAGGGAACAGTGTTTCAGTCTCTTCTGTAGATTCTGCAAGCAAGGTGAAGGGATGCCTGATGCAGTTATAGCTTTGTAGGGAGTCGCAGCAGTAGTGGGTGGCAAAGCCGCAGTCCCTGCTCTCTTTGGAGAGCTAGTACGTGTGTGAAAAAGGTTGACGGAGGGTCCAAGTGAGCTGTGAGACAGGCCAATTCTGTTTTGTACTTCTGGAGTAGGAAGGGCTGGTGAATGTCCTGTCTTGTCCACAAGACGGGCAAATAGACAATACGATTAAAGGCCAACAGAGGAGGAAACAATGGGAAGACTCAAGATCATTTGTGGAGCTTTACCTGGGCATCCTGCTGGAAAAGGGCAGAGCTCAGAATGGTAAATTTGGGAGGGAGAGAGAGGCAAGAGGTGCAGTTCTGAGAGTCACAGGGTTAAGAGTGTATGTTCAGCCGGGCACGGTGGCTCAGCCTGTCATCCCGCGCCTTTGGGAGGCTGAGGCGAGTGGATTGCCTCAGCCCGCGGGTTCGAGACCTGCCTGGGCAACTTGGCGAGACCTCATCTCTACAATAAATAAAAAAAATTAGCCGGGCATAGTAGCGCGCACCTGTAATTTCGGCTCCTTGGAAGGCTGAGGCGGAAGGATCGCCGGAGCTCAGCAGGTCGAGGCTGCGGTGGCCGGGAGCGGCCACTGCACTCCAGTCTGGGCGACAGAGGGAGACTCCAACTCAAAAAAAAAAAAGAGTGTATGTTAATTAAAGGGGAGCATTGAGATTTCCCAGGAGGGCGCCTGTAGACTGAGGAGAGGCCACATAGGCTAGAACTCTGGGAAGCCCCGAAGTCAAGCAAACAAGAATGAGAACATGAACTGTTATCTGTGGTTGTGCAGGCCATGCACTGCCCAACTCCAAACTGTGCTGGGATCAGTGACCCCCTGCTGCGGTGGGCCACAGTGACCCTGGGGAAAAAAGAGACAACACAGTGACCAAAGACATGGGAGGAGAACCAGAAAAGGGTAGCATCTGTATTTCCAGAGAGGAGGTGGTCAGATCTGGCAGAAGTTGAGGCAGCTGCGTGCAAATTTCATCTCTAAGAAGTTGGAAGGACTGGGCATGGTGGCTCAGCCTGTCATCCCAGCACTTTGGGAGGCCGAGGCGAGAGAATTACCTGAGCCCGGGGTTCGAGACCAGCCTGGGCAACCTGGTGAGACCTCGTCTCTAAATCACAAAAACTAGCCGGGGGCAGTGGCATGCATCTGTAGTTCCAATTACTTGGAGGGCTGAGGCGGAAGGATGGCCGGAGCCCAGCAGGTCGAGGCTGCAGTGGCTGGGGGCGTGCCACTGCACTCCAGCCTGGGCGACAGAGTGAGACTCCAACTCAGGAAAAAAAAAAGCTGGAAGGAAGAGAAGGAGAGGGTCAAAGAAATTTTGTCTGTTGGTCTGTTTGTTTTCTTCAAGGGCAGGGGGTGTTGTGTGCATGGTGGGCAAAGGGAATAAAAGTAGTGTGGGAAGAGGGAGAATAGAAGAGAAGAAAGATGAGTCGATTTTTTAATTAGACTTCGCAGTTTTCAGAGAGAGGCACTAGCTGAGATGTTAGTACCTCAAAGTAACTGAGGGCTCTGCGTCTGATCAGCCAGGAGGCAGACCTCCTTGTCTGTAAGGCAGCAGAGCCAGCCACACAGAGGGGGCACCTCCCACCCTGCCCAAGCCAAGGCGTCTGGAGAGGCAGATGTTCCAACCCAGGTGCAGAATGGGTCTGACATTGATGCTACAAGGACTTCAGATGGAGAGGGAAACCTCAGAACAATGCTGAGGATAACTGGGGCTGTTTAGCTACTAGACGTGTTCTTGTAAATTTCTATCTTTGCTGCATGAGCATGTTTCAGTTATGTGCCTATAAAGTTTTGTTTTATTCGGAGAAATATTAAATTTACTGAAGGTGAAATTTACTCAATGTTTATCAAAAACAAATAGACATCTGGCCGGGCTCGGTGGCTCGGCCTGTCATCCCAGCACTTTGGGAGGCCGAGGTGAGTGGATGGCCTGAGCCCGCGGGTTCGAGACCAGCCTGGGCAACTTGTCTCGTCTCTACCATCAATCAAAAATTAGCTGGGTGTGGTAGCGTGCGCCTGTAGTCCTGGTTACTTGGAAGGCTGAGGCGGAAGGATCGCCGGAGTACAGCGGGTCGACGCTGGGGTGGCCATGAGTGTGTCACTGTACTCCAGCCTGGGCAATGGAGTGAGACTCCAATTAAAAAAAATAATAGACATCAATATAACTTTAATATCCTGGCATGTTCTTATTCAGTCTGTATGTTCCTTTCTCCTCTGAAAATCAATAAACCAATTTGCAGGACACACAGAAGGGACATGTCACCCAATCTTCTTCCTTGCTATTACATGAAATTGGTCATGTCTAACTAAAATTCAAACCACAAGACTCCTTCCAAATGCTCTTTTTAAGGCAACAGAGTAGCCACAACAAATGACACAGCACAGTTTTATCGTCAAACTCTAGACTAGGAAGTGAAAACATTTTCAGAGTTATGTTTAAAACCCATGTGGTTCCACAGCTCCTTCTGATTAGATAATTTTGTTTGTCCTTTCCAGCAATTCTTCAACTGAGCTGTAAAAAGAAATAAATAAAAGCAGTAACTGTGCAATTCTGACTGCTTGCATTTTAAAATGGAGAAAAAAAAAACAGACTTGAATATGATTCCAACTAAAGATACTTAAAAAAATTCTTATGTCTACTAATTTATTTATTTCTCTCTCTGTCTCTCTCTCTCTCTGTTTCCTCTTTCATCGGAGTCTCACTCTGTCGCTCAGGCTGGAGTGTAGTGGCATGCTCATAGCCACTCTAGCCTCGACCTTCTGGGTTCAAGTGATCCTTCCACCTCAGCTTTCCAAGTAGCTGGACCCCAGGCCTGCGCCACCACACCCGGCTAATTTTTTGATTCATTGTAGAGACGAGGTCTTGCCAAGTTGCCCAGACGGGTCTTGAACCCCTGGACTCAGCTGATCCTCTTGCCTCTGCCCCCCAAAGTGCTGGGATTACAGGCATGAGCCACTGCCCCTGGCTGACCTTTTTTCTTAAACAGAACTAAAAGTCCTCACGTAACTGCAAATGCTGCAGAGTACTAATGGTAGATACACCGTGAAAGACAGCCATGGTATTTTGTGTGAATGATTTCCAAGATCAAGGGTGACACAGATCACCTGAGTGGGAGCCGCATGAATAAATAGAAGAGGTAGCCACCTACATGCATGTCTCAAAAAAACAAAAACAAAAACCTTAGGGATCCCCCACAGGTAGATTCCTCAACAGCTTACAACTTTGTGGCATTTGCCAGAATCTGCCTGTAGGTTAGATCTGCTAAGACCCCAATGAAAGGCATCCATTTTATCTTGTAGGAATGCTGTGCCTTTGTCAATGAGATAGGATCACCAAATTAGCGTATTAAATTAGCGTCCACCTGTCCAGCCCCTGAATAACTAGAATATAAGTAGATTGTGTTTTACGAGTGAAAGAAGTTTTGGGGGCGCCCAGTAACGACTCCACGCCATCTGAACTGAGAGATTTATTAAAGGGGCAGTTACA